GAGGTTTTAAGTTAATGATTACAGAGTATTTGAGCATTCATTATTAAATAATTTAAAAATCTTTAAAACAAATAACGCTACTGGTAATTGCCCAAACTTAATAAAAGAAGAAAGAAAGTGTACATCAAACGACATTGCATTTGAATGAAATTAAATTAACAGGTTTAAATATATACTTGGTAAGTGCTTTAAAAATTATTAAAGTTGATATTGAAATTTTATTATAAAGTATTTTGGTATTTTTATTAATAATATTTTTTTTGAATTAATCACTGATATCCGATCTATTGACAGACTAAACCAGATCGAGTACTGCAGAGGCGAGGGCGACCCTCCCAACCCAGTTTGCTCCATTCACAAACGCCTGGATTCAAACCCTTAACCTTGTTTAAGGGACCTAATACCTCATCCCACTTTACTACTTGGTTGTTGGTTTTTTTTTATTAATAATATTAATTCTTAAAGACGTGAAAATATAAAATTATATAATATATCAATGATAATATTATAGTCTATTTTTAAAAAATTATTTAAAAAAATATTCAAAATAGAAATAAAGATATATTAAAAAAATTAATCAAATAGTCTTATCAATTTCTCTCTAATCGACTAATCTAACTTTACTCATTTACTTATTTTTTATTTAGCATTTAATATGTTTTTATTTTACTACTAAAGAACATTTTATTTGTTTTTTCTTATAATCATTATGTTTCACTGTTTTCATTTATTTTCTGCTCATTTTTGTAGCAGTCATTTTCAATGGATACAGCATCAATGATGACTTTGTTTTAATAATCTTCAATTTTAGGCTTAGACTCATGTTTTAGAATTTTAGGATTCATACGAAGAACAAAATTGTAATTATTTTAGGCATTTATTTTCTTTATAAAAAAAATAAAAAGACAAATCCTATGACTTTTAGGATTCATACAATGAATAAGATTTTATTTTTTTTTTGTTTCAAATAAAAGAAATTTTTTTGGAGTCAATAGCTTGCACGTCAACAAGCTTCCGCCATCCTCGTTCCATAGGTTGATAAGGGAGCAATCATTACCTTTATAATATGTTTGTACATGTGTAACATAATAATTTTTATATTCATGCATATAGTATATGTCTTGAATTTATTAAGTGATTTTAGTAGATAAATAAAATAATATTTTTTAGATATTTTAAATTCAAATAATTGTATCTACATAATGTTTTAAAAATCCAAATTAACTTTTTCTTTTCCTTAAAAATTACTAAAAATGGAAAATTGATAATGAATGTTTTAAGTTGCCTCCAACAATGGATTGCAATAATAAAGGATTCATTTCCCACGCGATTTGATCAGCTTGGCCGGTGATAAAGTCTCATTCAATGTCAATATTTTATGAGCTTTTTACTTAAACATGAATCGATTCAGATTGTGATAACAACAAGCATATATAAGTTTTGTCTTCAATCATTCAATGAGTGCATGTTTAAAATATTATATTTAAATACCTGACAAATATCATATCTAAAATATAAGATTTAAGAAATTTATAGATCAAACTCGTATCAATAAGCGAGTCAAAGAAAAAAATTTATATTAAAATCTCAAGTATTTCAAGAATATTTTAGGATAACAACGGAAAGAATGTGGCAATATATCACAATAATTATTTTATGCATAAGTAACAAAGTAATATTTTATAAATGAAGTTATAATTATTTTAATTTGTTTAATATAATTAAAGAATGAGTGATAATGTTGTAATCTCACTAATAAAATATTTATTATCATTGATACATATTTTATAAAATATGTATTAAGTGTGGATATAATTATTTTCATTCGTTATAAATCAAACACACACAAAGTCTTATATATATATATATATATAAAAGATAAGATTTAGACACACAAAGTAAAATTAAAAGTTTATACATTAATTTAGAATCGTTGAATATTTGATAATTTCAGTAGTCCTAAATTAATATAAAACTAAAAGTTATTAACTGTGTAAGACTGTAAGTGAACTCTAATCTTATATAAATATATTTTTGGAAATTAATTGTAAATGAAAATTGTTTGTTTTAGAGAGAGGGGGGTGACCAAAGAAGAGACATTGGTGGCAAACATAAGGAAAGCAAGAAAATCCCATGTTTGGCTACCATGCACTGACTTGAATAGCATATTTTGGGCCTTTGCTTATTCTTACTTTAGTCCAACATTATGTAGTGGAATGCACTTTTTTCTACATTTAGATAAGACCCCATTTCCTCTTCATTGTTTCCTTTCTTTTTACTTTCAATTCTGCAAATTATTGTGCACTTTTGTCTGGGATAATAAGTCAATGCCAAGGAGATAGTTCTATTTCATGTGTGCCTAAGAGGTACCCGACATATTATATCAAAACGAAAATGTAACTAAAAAAAAGTTTTAAATAATATTATACCCGAAATTTTGTTATTATTCATGTGTATATTTGAATTTGATATACTAATGGTTAGTTGAGCTGTCTAGAGTTCTTTTTCTTTCTTTTTAGGTTCTTATTTTTCTTCCTTTTAAGTTTTTTTTTCTCTATTTGATTGTTTAGGGGATAGTACGATCGTTTTTATTTTAATAGTCTTGGGTGGACACACTCTACAGACACAACTGTTCGAATTCGAGACCTCAAAAGAAATCAAATATCGAATAAAATTAACGTGTACACTATACTTTTATTATACCTGTGATGTGGATGAATAAAATTATTTTATATAGAAAAATATATTCTTAAAAATTATATAACTAGTAAATATAAGTAAAGTGTTAAAAGATTTGTAAAACATCAAACTTGTTGAACCTATTGATTGACTTCAGTGGTCGAAGGAAATGTCGTTCTCTTTAAAGGTTCGAGCATTTACATTTGCAGGTTTTATACGTTATCAATAATTAAGAAAAATTATAAATATATTATTTTATAACTACTAAAAAATACCACTCAACTTTCAATATGTTTCGATTGCATTCTGATTTGCTGGACAAGTATCCAAACTTATTTCATTGCTTCATGGGCCATACGTCATATAAATTGAAATGATTTTTCAATTTCCAATTCCCACAAACCCAGCTTGATGTTTGGGCTACGCAAATCAACATTGGATTTTAATCTTGGGTTCATTAATTTTTGAACCTTATTTTTAAAAAAAAAATCTCAAACCTAATTTCAAATACTCAAATAAATATCCAATAATTAAAATGGATTTAAATAGACCATACAACCATTACTTATACCTATGTTCGGTGGAACAATGCTTAATTACTTAATTAGATCGAATATTATCTTTGTCGTTGATATTTAATTACTTATGTAACATTGGGTCTCATTATTAATTACATGATTATTTAGTAAGACCAATTTTCCATATCATCTGATATTATAATCGTAGCTTACTTGACCTCTAGGTGACACCAAATGTTGTTGTTTGTTTGCCCTTGTAATTGTGACTGATTATTATTATATTTTATTATTATCCAGTGATATAAAATTATGTAACACTGTGATAATGATATGATTTTATAGCTTAGTCCTAGAGTCAATAATTAGAATGTGCATGAGAATATTAATGGTTGATAAATGATTGATGATAAGTATGTTATGTCTATGGATAATGAAACATGTTTGTGAATTTTACGTAATATAATAAAGTAGAAGTGTACTAGTAAACTTGTAAAGCTCAATGTTTAGACGTTTTTATTCTTAAGTCGGTAGATTAGAGTTGTTTCGTAATTTACCATCGTTATATGACTTCCAACATCATCACTAGAGTACGATACTTGATTACTTTATAAGATATATGTATTCATAAAACTCTTATTTGTATTTAATATTTAACTCTGATATTAATTTGATTTATACAATATCACGGTGCTCCGAATTTTATACAAATAATTTTACAATCATTATGAATATTAATATTTTAGTATCACTTATTGTATTTATATGTTTAATTATCAAAACGAGAAAAAATTTAAATTAGACAATCAATTCGGTGATTTGATATTACATCTTATACCTATCATCATTGGATCGAGTTTAAGGTGTTATAATTATAGAAATTCACCTATTATAGTTGAGTAGAGCCCAAAAATAATGCAATTTCTTCTACATTTCATTCAAGGGTTTCGATCAAGGAGCTTATCTTGTTGTACAAATGAAGACATCTAAATTTGATCAACAAGTATTTTTAGGACCCGATATAATGATAAGAGATCTATGAACATTTTTATGGATCAAAACGAGGCCTTCAAGTAGAGGGATCTACCACAGTAAGATTAATGATTTTTTTTAAGGATCTTACAATATAAATTTTTTATTTGGAAAGAAATATGTTAATTTTTTAAAGTTATGATTTTTAAAGTATTTTTAGAAGAATATTGACATCCTTAAACATAAATTGACACACACTATTTATTTTCATTCACTTAAAAGATTTTATTCATACAATTTCTAAATTTGACACCCAAAATGATTTTTGAGCATAACAGCTTCAACGACAATTTAACTTTAAAATGTTATTGTTGTCCATGCATTACATTAAATCAAAAGAATAAATGATTTATTCATTTGAAACAATTGATACCAAAGGTTCATTGAGTTGCCAACAATCAACTAGAAGAAAGCTCCAAAGGATTCTAGGTTCATGACAGTGTAATGTAGACAATGCACAACATTATCATTGATATTGACATCGAACGAAAATATAACAAATTGATTTTGCACCAGCTTGAAAGAAATTACAAAAGAGCACCCAACAAAACTGAATCAAAATTGAAAGTTGAATGATCGATATGTAAATTTAATTATACTTGAGTGACATCTCATGTAATTTATCCTTTTTCTTACAGTTAGTGTCCATTACACATTTAACAAAGTATAGTATTCAATTGTAAATTTTCTCATAGTTGAGTGACCATGCTGGAATTTACTCTTATTATTATTATCATTATCATTACCATTATTATTGTTATTAACCATTGAGCACTTTATTTGTCTTTTGCATTTCCAACAAAATGACTGAAATACGGCCTTTGATTCGTGAAATGAAAAGCCCTAGCTAGCTCTGAAGGTACTCATCACTCACCAAACCTGTATACATCTTTCTTTTTAAACTGTTTGGTTTAAGAGAAAATTTCAAGAATCTCTGTAAGATATCTCTCAACTGTTAATTTTCAATTTATTTATTGCTTATACTTTTTTCTGTTTCTCTCTGTGAAATCTTAGGTTCCTAACTTCCTTTTACTGAACTAGTTATTTGATATGAACCTCAGTTATTGTTGAAAAAATGTGATGAATTTCAGTTTTAATATCAAGGACTTGATTCCCCCCTTTCTTTCGATTTCTTTCTTTTCATTTTCCCTTAAAACCGCTGTGAATTGAATTTAATAGATATTGGAGTTGTTTCTTTCGACTTCAACCTAGGTTTTTGCTTCTTAATTTCATTCTGTTTTGAGTGGTGCTGATTAATGCTACATCGAAGAGTCACTGATCTGGTTGTTTTTTCAAGCTTGATTGACGGTATTATAAGTATTCAATTTAGCTTGAATTTTGTTTTATTCATGGAATTGTATTTTTGGCTGAACTGATGGAATCTCAATTGTGTTGCCTTTCAGTTAAATGGAAGCCTCAGCCGCTGAATGTTTAGAGAGAACCTGCATTGTTTTGTTCTGTATTTAGCTAAAAGGGATAGTATTGTTAGCAAGTTTAGATTTCTTAGTACTCATAGCTTTCTGCTTTCAAATTTCCGAAAATGGTTGGAAATACATTATTCAAGATTCCAACGTGCCCGTCTTTGTCATCTTCAACTTTGACCACCATCCCACATTCTTCTCGGAGAGTTTTGCCGTTTGTTTCACCTAAACCAAGAATGAGGCCGGCAAAAGTTAGAGTTATGTCTGCCAGTACTGAGCATAACCCACCGCCACTTTCTTCAGAGGAAAAGAATCCACTTGCTGCTGTTTTAGATATTCCTCAGAATATTTGGAGACAAACTTTACGTCCACTGAGTGATTTTGGGTTTGGTCGTAGAAGCATTTGGGAAGGTGGGGTTGGGTTGTTTTTTGTGTCGGGTACTGTGCTTCTTGCGCTTAGTCTGGCTTGGTTGAGAGGGTTTCAGATTCGTTCTAAATTCCGAAAGTACCTAGCAGTGTTTGAATTTGCTCAGGCATCAGGTATTAGTACTGGAACACCTGTTAGGATTAGAGGGGTGACTGTAGGCAATGTTGTACGTGTTAATCCCTCCCTGAAAAGTATAGAAGCAGTTGTTGAGGTACGTTTCAGGATAAAAAAAATCTGTAATATTTTCTTCTGATTGGTTTGTGTATGCACCTACATTGCTGCCATCATTCTTAGGTTGAAGATGATAAGATTATTATACCTCGAAATTCACTGATTGAGGTCAACCAATCTGGTCTTCTGATGGAAACTTTGATTGACATCACACCAAGGGATCCAATTCCGTCACCTTCAGTTGGACCTCTCAATGCTGACTGCATTAAGGAAGGCTTAATTGTATGTGATAGGCAAAAGATAAAGGGGGAACAAGGGGTAAGCCTGGATGCATTGGTAGGGATTGTCACCCGTCTTGCTCGTCAAATGGAGGAAATCGGTATTGTCAACATCTATGAACTTGCTGAGCGAGTTGCTGCTGTTATTCAGGATGCAAAGCCCCTGCTCACAAAGGTGTGCAATGTTTTATTACATTTTATCTTTATGTCTTAGTGGTGAAGTTTCTTTTTCTAAGTTTTATTTCTGATAGTTCTATTAATCACAAAAGAAGTGAATGGGTCTACTTCATTATCTTTTCCTTTTCTTTTTGCCCCTCTATGAGTTCTGTTTAAATGATTTATTATTACACATTGTAGCCTGATGTGCATAAATCTAGAAGTTTATGTCTGTACGTTTTCTGTGCTCTAACTGATTGGATAAACATTCTAAACTAAAATTTTGATGGATTTTCATGTTCAAAATTTTGAATTTGTTGTAGTGACTTTTCAGATTGAAGCCATGGCCGAAGATGTGCAACCTTTGTTGGCTGAGCTTCATGATAGTGGTCTGCTTAAGGAGGTTGAGAATTTGACCAGAAGCCTAACCCAAGCCTCTGAGGATTTGAGGTGAATTCTCTATTCTTTCTTGGGTATAATTTTATTAAGATGTGCTTGTTACAAAGAGTTGCTCCTACATGCTATAACCAATAATTGTTTTCAGAAAAAAACATTACGCCAGCATGCTTATAACTGAGAATTGTTTTTAAGACACTTTTATCTTTGTCATCTGAATCTTATGAACAAATTATTGTGAAACTTCAAAGTAATTGGGTTATGAATATTTACAGAATATCAAATAAAAGGTCTAGCACATGATTTTTATTTTTCTAGGTAATTTCTGAAAATGCATCAAACAATGATGTTAATTCATACATCTTACATGTGTCATCTTCCACCTCCACTACATGTTATGGGGTCGTTTTATGATTTTTCCTCTGTGTTCTACAGTTAGCATTATATTATTGCTACAATCAACCCTGACGCTTAATAATTACAAGCAGCCACCTTATCTTCTTTACCCACTGTCTAAAACAAAAGTACTAAATGATCGAACTCCAGCTATCAAGGTATATATCCTTGCTCCTACAGTTAAAACTCAGTCGTAGATGTTGCATCATGAACTCATTCTAGATCCTTGAATTTGGAGTAGCAACTTTAAAAATGCTGTGGCTCAATAAATATTTAGTAATGTGGAAGTATCAGCCATTAGTGTGGACACTTTGAATTTGATCTATACTAAGATGTAATTTTCTAATTATGATGTGAGGGGAAGAAGACGGTTTGTGTAAACAAGATTTGACCCCCTTCATTTTGTGCCTTGGCTGCCCACTTTTTCATCTTTAATGTATGGCCTTAAAACTACAGTTCCTTTCTGTGCAGAAGGGTGCATTCATCCATTATGACCCCTGAGAATACTGAATTGATTCAAAAATCAATTTATACTCTAATTTTCACTTTGAAGAATATCGAGGTAAAAATTTACTTACCTGCTACTACTATTCCTCTCAATTGTTTATTTAAATCTCAACTTCACACCTGTCCCTGTCTCTCTCTCTTCATTTACCATTGCAGAATATAAGTTCTGATATACTGGGATTCACGGGTGATGAGTCTACAAGAAAGAATCTAAAATCACTTATCAAGTCGCTTAGCAGGATGTTGTGATTGTGAAGACAAGTGAAAAGAATACATAATAATTGATTACAGAGTCCAAACTCAAAACTGGTTTGTCTTTTCCATTGTTATAAAGGGGGGAGATATTGAAGTGAAGCTTTTTGTTTGTACTCTTTTTGTTCTATTGCAGTTGGAAAATCTTGATGCCTGAGTTATTTGTTGCACACAGATCACAAGTATAAATGCGAATTAAATATTTTTTCGGTTGTTAATTAGTGGTTGCACACTGTTGCTGTGATGGAATAAAAGTAGAAAACATTCTGGAGGCAACTGATTGCAGGGTGTGATGCAAGTAAGTGCATTTCATCATAGTTTCGCCGTGGTTTTGCTGTTTTTTCGAGAGGATTTGCAGGTAACGTTGTATCAAACCTATGTATTCGGGTTAAACCGTGATCGTTTCTCTCTGGTTATGCATATTATTTAGTTGGAGTAAGGCCTTGCATCTCTTTTTGTGCACTTTTTGTTTCCCATTTTCACTCCTCGTTGCATATAATCTAGTTGGACTAATTCCTTGCATCTCTTTTGTGCACTTTTTGTTTCCCATTTTTCCTCCTCATTGCATACAATCTAGTTGTTCGAATGACTTAATATTTTTCTTTTGGGTCCAAAATCCAATTTACACACTCATATTCTTCTCAAAAAAATTTCTTTAAAATTAACTAAAATGATGGATCAAACTTTTCATTTAAACTGTTTATTCTAATTAAAAGCATCGAATAAGTTAATTTAGATGGAAGATAAATGAAAAATAACTCGGTTAATTTAATCAATCAGGTGATGTTATGGAATAATAAAATTATTTGAGCATTTTGATTTAATTTTAAATCAAGCCTTTTAACTCATATTTTTTAGGGTAAAATATATGATTGATCATTTTCGTTTGAGTTTTATGCACTTTTCCTTTTTAAATAAAAATATAATAGTTGAATCTTATAATCTTCAAAAAATATTGATTTTGTGGTGATATTATTGTATAAGTTAAATTCAAAATGGGGTGATGTTGTTCTTAAATTAATTCTTTTAAATTTTTAATTTATTATTATTTAGGGTTGTGACATGGGAGATTTAGTTGGGAGGATATAATTTGTTTTGGTTAATTACAATGCAAAAGCATGAGATTCCTAGAGAAAATTAATATAAATAACATATATAATGGATTTAAGAATAATCTCAAGTATAATTATATAGAGTGTAGGCCAAAGGTTTAAGGGACAAAATTGACTAATCTCATTGGGGAATTAATTAAATAACTTAAGCCTAAATTCTAGATTGGCACTAAAACATGCAAACACATTAAACAAAACATGCATACATTTTAATTGGACCCTCTCATTTTAGGTAGACTCACTATTTTAAAACGTTGTTCATTTGTTAACTATCAATTTTTAAAAAATAAAATATTAAGATTAAAATATTTCAAAAAATAATAAATAAAATGATTATTTTATCAAATATTAAACGTATTATTAACATTATCTTGTCAGAATATTTGTTTAATAATGGTCCACAATGAATTATTTTATGGATGGTTTCAGTGACAAACTAATAATTAATATGAAGAGAATTTGTCAGAATATTTGTTATTTGACAAATATAAATTATTTTATGGATCATATTTGTCGAATCTCTCCACTTAGATAATTTGATTCCATCGAAGAAATTAGGTAAATTTTTTAATATGGATATATAATATATTTAATTGGGTTACAATTAATTTTCGTGTTATTTAAAAATTTAATTTATTCTTCAAATTAATAACTGAAAAAAATAAGACGATGCTTTATATATGATAGTCACATCTGCAAAATCGTACCTAACAATTTAATCATATTAATACTTACATCAGTTGGATTACCAGTTCTTTTCAAGGGAATTTAAGGAAGTTTCCCAAATAGGTCAGTTTTCACACACTTACCAAATATAATAAGGGGAAACTTCCACGTTAATGCATGGCCAATATATTATTTCCCAAAATAATATACTCATGCTATTATTTCTCCAAATGGGGTGTTTGTTACAGAAAAGTAAGATTTCCCGGCGTCTTCAGAGGTGTGGGATTCACTATCGGATATCTCGGCGTCTTCTATATATGTTAGTTCAAAAGATGTTCATGGGAGTTCTCGGCGTCTTCTATATATGTTCGTTCAAAAAATGTTCATGGGAGCTCTCGGCGTCTTCTTCAGCCTTGGGGTGGAGTTCTTGGCGTCTTCTTCAGCCTTGGGGTGGAGTTCTCGGCGTCTTCTTCATCAGCATCATGCAGGTCCACCAATAATGCATGCTAATGAGTTAGTTTGGAAGCCAATAATTCAATGAATTTTGGTAGTTAGAAACCGATAATGCCAAAGGAAATTTTATATAAAAGCATACACTTTATAAAATGTTGCAAAAGTATTGGGCCCTAGCAATAAACAAAAGCACATGTTTTATAAAAGAAAAGTTTGGTCCCTGGCAATAAACGAAAGCAAGCACATGTTTTATAAAAGAAAAGTTTGTTGTTATTAGAAGAAAATTTATAAAAGTATTAATTTTATAAAGTGAAAGAAAGAAATGTGACAAGTTAAGCAATAATGCATGCAATAATCAATAGAAAATTTTGCATGGTGGTGTAGTAATCGGAAATCACTCCATAATATGTGCGCATGTGAAGTAATAATGGTGTTGTTAATACACTGAATATGATTTATAAATAGGAGGATAGTGGTGTCTGGGAGAGTGAGAGAGTGAGTTCGAGGAGAAGTTAGAAGAGAAGAGAAGAAAAGCTTACATCGAGATTTCGAGAGTTATTTCGGGAAAAAAAGAGAAAAAAGTTTGAACAAAGGAAGAAATAAATCGGATTTATAGTAAGTTTTATGTAATTTTTATAATTCGTCCATTATTTTAATTTTTAAATAGAAATTAATTAGATTATTTTTTTTGATTTTAAAGAATGAACTATATTTATGATTTTGTTTTTGAGTAATAAATCGAGTATGTTAGTGGGTTATTAATAATCCATTAACATCTCGGTAGGTTGGTGGTTGCAGGTTATTAATTATCCATTATAATTTAGAATGTAATTTATTCTAAATATCTATATTTTTACGTGTAGAGAAAATGAGCAACAAGTTTTTCAAGATTGTCCATTACAATGGACACATGATGGAAAACGAGGCCGGGGTTATTTTTCAGCCTGAAACACCTATAAATATGATGTTTAAAAGGGACATCACATTTGTAGAGATGAAGGCGAGGATAGAAAGAAAAATTCGTGCTACTGTTGATGGTATGAGGTATAGATTTATGGTATGTCCCAATCCGGTCAGGTATGCTGCAGTACCAGTTGTAGAAGATGATGATATAATAACTATGGCTGAATTACATGACTCGACAAATATTCCAATTATTGAGTTACTTGTTGAGTTGTGTAATATATCTAATGTGCCTGGGTTATCGAGAAATGCGGTTGGAACTTCATCTCAAATGGGTTTTGAGAGACAGTTCGATAACCCGACATATAGGTCGATGAACAACTTTGTGGCGATGCTGGAAAGTGCAAATGAAGTTGGTGGAACATCTGGAGCCGCACAGTATGACGCAGAAAACCGATGGGAAGAAATACTTGAAGATTCCAGTGAAGATGAAGAAATTGATGAACCTCATTTGGATGAGGAAGACGTCATGTTCGATGGTGATGAAGCTGATATCAATATTGGTGAATATCCGACACCGTATCAACCTACCCCTCACATGCAAGAGATTGATTATGAAGTAATGAGGGCACCTGAATTCCCAGAGATGCCACATTTAACTTCAGGTTACATGATTGAATCGTCTGATAACTCTGGTGAATTATCAGTTGGGAAGCAATATAGAGGAAAAAAAGAAACTACACTGGCGATTAAAGAGTATTGCATAAGAGGTCATGTAGATTGCAAGGTTGTAGAGTCCAACCAGAAAACGTTGTACGTGAAGTGTGTTAAATATGGGCTGAGTGTAAGTGGCTGATCAAAGTGTCCAAAATACAGATGCAAGATGCTTGGGTCATCACAAGTTACAATGGTCCACACACATGTTTGCAAAACTCTATCGAACAAGATCACCGACTACTGGACTCCGATGTAATTTGTCAATAAGTGAAGGTTTTGGTTGAACAAAATCTAAGGATTCCTTGCTCGGTGTTAGCTGCATCTATTCGAGATCAGTTCGGATACAACGTAAAATACAAACCTGTTTGGCATGCGAAGGAGAAGGCAAGGAGGTTGGTATATGGTGATTGGGATACATCATACAATGAGTTACCTAATTTGTTACGAGCTATGAAACAATTCATACCTGGAACCATCGTGAAGTCTCAGACCATGCCTGCATACAACCGAGAAGGTCAACTTGTTATAGGGAAAAGAATATTCCATAGACTCTTTTGGGCATTCAAGTCATGCATAAAAGGTTTTCCATTTTGCAAACGTATGGTCCAAGTAGATGGCACATGGTTATACGGTCAATACAAACATATATTATTGATTTAATAATAATTACTTTAATGATTTAATTTTAATGATTTAATAATAATTACTTTAATGATTTAACTTTAATGATTTAATAATAATTATTTAACTTTAATGATTTAATTTTAATGATTTAATAATAATTACTTTAATGATTTAACTTTAATGATTTAATAATAATTATTTAACTTTAATGATTTAAAAATAATTACTTAACTTTAATGATTTAACTTTAATGATTTAATAATAATTACTTGACTTTAATGATTTATATTTAATTATATAATAATAGTAAATATATTCGATTCAATTACTTTAATTTGATACAAATAATTAAAATAAGGATTACAACTCTTGTCGGTGTCGGGGTGTTGTTGAGTAATAATGTTGAGGCCCACATCGGTTTCGTTGTGGTCGTTGCACTTGTCCAGGAGTTTGTTCAACATAACCAACCTGCTCATTCATCGAGGGCATAGGTTCTGGTGTTGTAAATATATGCCCACCACCACTATGCTCTCCCATCTGAGGACAAACACTCGTACTTGTCATCATAGATGTCATCTGATCAAAATCATTTGTTGCCCCAAACATAGGAGAGAACATGAGTGATTGATGAGGAACATGCTGAGGAGTGTAGGGCGTAACACCAGAATCACCAACCACTTGACTAAATGATCTTGTGTGATCAAAAGATTCTGGTGGGATATTATCCATTGTCTCTTGTTCTGCTCCACGGTGAGAATAACTCCTACTCCCACTCCCAGTCCTTCTTGGTTTCTCGGGTTT